GGGGGGGGTCAGCGCCTACTGCAGTGATGGCCAACCTTGGCGATATCGCTCACTAACAAAGTATAAATAATTAATAACAATAGTAGATTAAACTTGATTGCTCCCCGCCGGTTTATGTAGGTTACAATTAACGGCAAAGCTACCCTCATGAATACCTAATTAAACGAACAAATAATACAGTATACATTGTACAAAGAATGTCAACGACACAATATTGTTACAACAGTACAGACCAATGTCACAAACCCGCCAGTGCTGGTCGCCATGTGCAGAGCCCGGTTGAGGTTTTCCCGCCTAGGGTTGTCGTGAGAAGCTCAAGAACTCACCCCAATGACCTCCCATCTAAACTATGTGTCACCGGCATTTGCTTGACATTATGGATTGTGTAACTCTCAATTCAATACTCACTCGGCCACTGAACGTAACGGGGACGATTTGGTTAAGACAATGACAGTGACAATGACAATGACTACGACAATGAATACGACAATCTTTGTTCATCTCGCATGGAGAAATTTGTCTTGGGCAATATTTTTCTAATTTTCTTTGTTTTTGGCTCAACACTTTTTATATCTATTTAAAAACACATTTGTGTGTAGATTTTACTGGTTTAAAAAAAAATGATTAACGAGAGGAGCGACCCTTGAGGATCATTTTCTATGTTTGTTGCCCAAGATCAAATCTAAGTACATATTATATAAGTTAGACATAGTAAAATCTCTTGATACACAATTTTATTTTGGTATAGCTGCAGCGGTTGCTATGGAAACGGCCGCCATCTTGTAAATTAACAATGAATTTCAAATCCCTAAGGCTTTCTTATTTACAGAGCAAATTTGACCACGTTTGGTGAGAGTATACCTGAACCAGACCCTACCAGAGTAACAGCAAGTTGACGAGCGCCTGATTCTGCCCCGTCGTGACACAATGTTTCTTCTTAAAACCCGCTATATCTTACACTTTATGATAATATCTAATCCTTTATTCCATCACATGTTTTGTGTGACTCCCAGCTGTATCATGTTTTTACAGTAAAGGAATTACTGTGTTTGTGACAGAGCATTCGTAGATGATCAATATTGTTGTTTCTGGTTTTTGGTTTGGTTTCGTTTCTGGTTTTTGTAGCAGAAATTTGAAAATGGGCGCAGACGTATTAGTCTCCTTTTTTCTTTCTTTTTTTCTTGCCTTTTGAATTTTCTTTTCAACTATTAGATTTTTTTAGTTTTAAAAGAAATCTATAACCTACAAGCACAATAATACCAATAATACTATGGGTCATTCAGTGCAGGGGAAAAAGACAGACAAAACAAAACGAGGACAAAAAGACAGACAAAACAAAACGAGGACAAAAAGACAGACAAAACAAAACAAACAAAACACGAAGGAAAAAAGGAAAAATGTGGGAGGGTCGGGAGGAAGTAGCAGTCACAGACAACATCTCCCTGCCACCGACGGGTGAACGATCAGGGAAAGACAGAGTGCTGGAGGAATGGAGAGAAAAGGAAGAGAGCGCGGTACATGCGGATGTGGCCACAGTGCAGGAAACTTGTCTCAGTCAGACTGTCAGTCCCGGGAACACAAGAGTCGGTGTTCACTGCTGGTGCTGGCAGGCATTTCTCTACTATTTACTCTCTCTCTCTCTCTCTCTCTCTCTCTCT